AAACTTTTTTTGTCAGTTGATTAATTATTTTACTGGATTAACGATCTATTATTTTCGTGTACGTTAGAAAAAAGAATATCAAACAACATCTTTTGGTAATGCCATTAATGGCGATAGTGGTGGCTTAGCTTGAAATATTCATTGTCAACTAATTATTATAACTTTTGACACAATCAATCGAAGAATTTGGACAAGACCTTCTATGAAATCTACTGAAGTAGAAATAATGTACAACATGCTGTACTTTTTCAGACATGAATGAGTACAAGCATTAATACCTATTTCAAAAAAGAAGACGCGTGGGTATTTTTCGAATAACTTTTGATAGAAGCAAGATAGAGAGCTGTGGTTTTCATTTTTGGAAAGAGGAGATGACGGCGCATCAAATCGTGTAATATAGGTTTTTCAAGTAAACTCTCTGAAGTTTTCTCAACCAGTTTTCTAAAAAAGTGTCGAAAGGTTACTTTTTGATTTTATAAGAAAAATACAAGAAAGTGCATTTTTCACAAAAATTAATAGAAAAACCGGCTCAGAATTTCGATTAGAAGACTTATACCTCCTAAAGGACTAAATCTAAAAGTCTGGGCCTTGCGCAGCTTTCTTGCTATTCTGTAAGAGCTTGGAATGCACACCAAATTCTTAAAAATTCACTGTAGCCACCTAACGGAATATGTTCGTTTTCAAAAACGTGGGTTTCAGTGCTTGTAAAAACTAAGTTAAAGTACCTTATGATATCGAGTTGGATGTGCTGTCATCACCTCTTTCCAACGGTGAAAATCGCAGCTCTCTATCTTGTTTCTATCAAAAGTTATTCGAAAAATGTCCCCCCGCCTTATTTTTTGAGATGGGCAATAATAGACAAATAGAAAACCACAAAATAATTTAGAATTTCTTCGAAAATTCTGTGGTAACAATTATAGGCATCTATCGATGGTCTTTTTCTGATGTACACAAAACGGATATAATATAGACTATGACTCAACCATAGCTGGTATTAATTTGATTCATTTCACGCGACTTCTTGCCTTCATATTGAGACGAACTAATGATGGCTCATTATGTTCTGTTGCTTGTGAATACAATAATATAATAAGCAATGTTTTGTTTCTTTTACATGACAATTTCTGCACCGAAGCGTTCGACACATGGCAACAGCAACTGATACAAATCTTTGTGGTATATGCAATAAAGAAAGACACACTGTTAAGTGTGAAGGTTGCTCACAATCTTTTTACTACAATCACTTGGAAATCCATCGTCAAGAATTAAGTAAACAATTAGACGATGTTTAAGTTACTCACGATCTATTTCGACAAACTCTTACTAAAAGAATATCTTAGTCACAACAGCAGTCATCGCTAGAATAAATAGATAAATGGGAACAGGAGTCAATCAACAAAATTCGACAAACAGCAGAAGAAGTTAGATCATTTTTATTTAAACATACTACTCAACAAATTACTCAAATATATGGCAGACTACATAAGCTAACTGATCAACTACGTCAATGTCGTCAAGAAAATGACTTTGTTGAAACAGATCTATGTAAATGGAAAGAACAACTGGCTCGGCTACAAGAATAACTTATCAGGTTGGCAAATATTAGAGTGCGACAAGATTCTACATCATTTATAATAAAGATTGATATCGATGTATTTGGTAATGGTAAATGTCTGATTTATCATCTGTTGATGGAAACAATGTTACAGAAAATTACGAAGGAGCTAAAAGATCCTAATGATTGAACCAAAGAAAAGTAATTTAGTTGTCTAACATGAGAGCTGTTTTCATCAACACTCAATGTATGAGAACAAAAATGCCTTAGTACAACTTATTAATAATAGCACCTAAACAGAACTATTCAAGTGAATGTTAAATTCAACGTATTATCATTTTCGAATGAGTACATTACGACACATTACTTGTTCTAAAAGAAAATCTGCTTTTTTGATTTCGCTAAATTTCAAAATTAGTCAGTGCTTCTAGTTTCATCTAACAACTATTTACTGATTTAAAATATTAGATAAAATATATTACAAAAATTCTGCATTTTTTTATCAGTCCGTTGCAATCGGACAAGATCTCATAACCATCTTTATGAAAAGAGCAAATTAGTCAGTCTTAGTTGTTTATCTTTTACATCAAGTGCTTTGCCATAAACGATGCATCATGTCAATTTTTTATTCTGATACCAATAATATCAAATTTTTTAACAGAAATCTTGATTATTCCGTCGAAAAGCAACTAAATAATAGTCATTAAGGACAACTTTCGGTATTCATAAGCTTCATGATATTAATTTAAAATGTTTTGTTCATCAATGAAATTTAATGCAATGATATTATTGTGTGCAGTTTTGAAAAATGTATCGAACGGTATTTAATTCAAAGTCGATTGATGCTTTTCGAAATCCAGCATTGAGAAGATCTTTATCATAGAATCCTTATATACTACATACCAGTTAACAAAGTCATATGCAAGAGAGAGAAAAAATATTTTGTCATAATCGTATACACTATTCTATAGAGAAAAATAAAGGTTATTTCATGTATTAGTCATTGTATAGCAGTTGAAAGAAGAAAAGAAATAGTAAATATAAAAAGCACAATGCATATAAATGCTATACGAGACAGATACTATCCAGTTGTGAGTCATTGGGTGAGAGCCTCAATAATATCTAATAGTCTACTTTGAATGACCAATGATTTATAATACACAAACTGACTATTATGAAAATAATAAAATATATTTAAATAAGAGAGGATCAGTTGATGGCTGATCGACTCTCTTCTTTTTATTGTACACAGTCAATGGTCGATAGCGATCGTGCTATGCTTGAATAGATTCATACAAAATAGAGCAAAACATGTTTTTCAATGGTGGATATTCATTCATTACCCATATAGACAAAATCGATAAAATGAATGTGTTTTTTGTGTATTATCATATGAGTTTGTTACATTTGTTTGAAGAAAAAATTTTTTTCTTCAAACAAAAAGTTAGACTAAAGACAATGCAACTCAGAGTTTTGTTTACGAAAATAAATAATAAAACGCATTTTTTTATCGTAAAAAATGTCCCTATTCTAGTGAGTCGTAAATCGATATGAATAACGAACAATTTGTCTATATAGGAGAAGAGAAAAAAAGCATTTTCTAATCATATTATGTTTTTAACTATCAAATAGTTACTAGCTGTTCGATCGATTTTCTTCTGTTTTAGATTACAAAATTTATTAATGCCTACTTGCCGTTATGCACGTCACAAAGATAGTCAAGACGTGTTTTGTCTCGATGGTTTTATAGAACCAGATGATGAACCTGAAGATAACCAATCAATACATTATTTTTCCAATATTGCTTACTTAAATGATTCACAACTGCCACCTAAAGTTGATCTTCGTCCACTAATGACACCTGTCGAAAACCAAGCGAAGCTTCCAAGTTGGTGTGTATAAAATATTTGACTTACAATCATGATCTCTATGAGATTTCTATTAATTTAGTGTACCGAATGCTTGTGCAGGTAAATATGAATCTTTCTCAAAGATTTCATAAATGTTTGATTGTAGGAGCTTACGAATATTTATATAAAAGAAATACTGGTAATAATTTTGATGTAAGTCGATTATTTATATTCTACAATGCTCGAAAGGAAAAACAAGGATCAGATGGAAAACTCGAAGTTGCTGGTGTAAGAATACCATATGCTATTGAAGCACTAAAAAAATTTGGTACTTGTGACGAATCACTTTGGCCATACGATTCTAAAAAAGTAAATAAACGTCCTCCTGATGAAGCATTCGAAGCAGCGAAAAACTATACAATATTAGATGAATTGAAAGTTAACGTAGACTTAACTGAAATGAAAAAGTGTCTTGCAGAAGGACATCCATTTATATTTGGTATACGAACATTTCAATTAGACAAGAGAGCGAAAAAAAATGGTATTGTACCAATGCCAAAACCAGGAGACGTGTCGTCAGGAATGCATAGCAGGTTTGATTTTAAATCAATTGAAAACTTTCAAGTAAAATTGATCATTTAGACATGCAATGTTAGCTGTAGGATATAGTGATCGTTCACAAGCATTTATCGTTCGAAATTCTTGGGGAGAAAACTGGGTAAATAAGAATATCTTTGAAAGATATATGTATATTTTGTTTTATGTTAGGGAGATAAGGGATATTGTTATATTCCATATGATTATATGACTGATCCAAACCTCTGTCGAGACGTTTGGATTATTCGTCAAGTGGATAATGAAAGTTTTGGAGATGAATATTGGGATAATGATGATTTA